CGCATGAAGCTTGGCTCTACCCACAATCCTTCACGTCTACCCACAAGCATCTATTTGAATGGCTGAAAGGCAGCTGCTTAGCTGGTTATTTCAAAATTAAGATCAGAAATAGCTTCCGAGTTTCTACTCTAGATTACCCCCCACCCACGTCTCCGGCCCTAATGTTTACCACCAACCACTGATCTGAGAAATGCAGCCTGGAGGTCAAATAAAATGCTGCACGACTGGCGCTGTGGTTAAACACGCAGTTGAAAATGACTTGTTTCATCTTTTAACCTTTTTTTACTAAAATAATGCCTTTCAGTCAAAATTACAGCATTTATGACAATTAGACAATCATGAAAGCAAATTGGAATTGCTCATAATACATCTTCATTGTGAATATTGACAGTACAATTTTGAATGACCACACGCCGCAGCAACAGGTAACAGCGTACAGTGTTATATATATATATATATATATATATACTCATACCGTATATACATGCTAATATTTATTAAATATATGCATGTGTGTGTATTTATACAAAATAATTATACACAATACACACACATATATTATGTAAACAAACTTTTATTTTGCGATTAATTGTTTCACAGCCCTAAAGGAAATGTATATTTTGCATAAAGAACATGAAGCCGGTTTCAGACAGTTTTTGTATTGTGATTGTTGTGATCTTTCCAAACTGTCAGCAGTAAAGTACAGTACTGCAATGTGATCATTTGTGTAATATTCACAGTAAACAAATTTCAATGAGAAAGAGAGTTTTGTGCTTAAAAGTAATGTGACAAAACAACTTTGGTGTAATTGTTTTGTTGTTGTGGAAAATCCCCTAAATGCTCTTTTCTCATAACACTGAAATAAAATAAAAACCATTTTAATAATACTTGAGCGTTATATCTCATCCCTGCTTCATGATTGTTCTTGCGTGTATGCGAGTTGATTTAGATTTAGAGGAATGCTCAGCTGTGGTCTTAGCTTAGGTGTGCAAGTGTCAACAGCCAGATAAAGGATCTTTGCAAAGCTGCATTTTCTATCTGAACGAACTGTCGTGTGTGAAGACGACGCCAACAAGAACCATGTGCCCTCCGAGTCCCGCTACACAATGTGTGTCACAGCTCAGACTGGGAACAATAGAAGAGGAACAGCTGGGCCCATCCAATCCTCATCTGTCCGGTATTAATGCTGGCCCATAAACCTCTTTAGAGAAGCCACAGCGCAGAACGTGACAGACTGCACTCCATTTAAAGGCCTCGCTCTTAATTATGCAAACACACTGTGAAACTGTGTGGGTTAAAGGAACGTCTGTGATATTTTGAGGTGGGCGTTCATGTAGGTCGTGTGGAAGGTATGAGTTGGCAGGGTGATGCTTATTTGGGGTGATGCATGCACACGTGCTGGTGTCAAACACTCAGCTAGCTGGAATAAAAAGAAAAATGTTACCAACATTCTCAAGTACTTCAGCTAACCGATAAACCAGCATCGTTTTTGGTACGCTCTTAAAAATGTGATATTGTAAAGTGCTACCAAATGATAACATTTTAAAACTAAGGTCTCATTTGTTAACATCAGTTGATCCATCCATTAACTAGCATGAGCTAACATTGAGCAATATACTTTTACAGCATTTATTAACCTTTGGTAATGTTACTTACAAATATTCATGTTAGTAGTTCACGGTGCATTAACAAATGTTCTTAAATGCATTAGTAAATGTTAAAATTAACAATAGATAAGATTAATAAAGGCTGCAGAAGTTGTATCAAAAATAAATAAGAAAGTTAAAGTTTTATAGGCACAAATGCTCGCCTTGCGAACTCTCCTGTTCGAACTCGTTCATTTTGATGAACGAGTCAATGACTCGGAAAAAAATACGTTCATTTTGATGAACGAGTTCGAACAGGAGAGTTCGCAAGGCGATCATTTGTGCCTATAAAACGTTAACTTTTTTATTTATTTTTGAAATGACAGATCGTTTCTCTAGATAAGACCCTTATTCATCGTCTGGTATCGTTTAAAGCCCTTTGAAGCTGCACTGAAACGGTCATTTAGACCTTTTACCGTTTGGCTACCATTGAAGTCCATTATATGGAGAAAAATCCTGGAATGTTTTCATCAAAAACATTAATTTCTTTTCGACTGAAGAAAGAAAGACATGGACATCTTGGATGACATGGGGGTGAGTAAATTATCAGCAAAAGTTATAAAAAGATAATTTGATATTTCTTTAACTGGAATGAGCCCTGCACTATTATTTTGTTGTTGTTGTTGTTGTTTTGTCATTTGCACAGTTTCGACATCACTCACCATGCAGTTTTAGTTCCCAACTATGTTTATTTTAACAGTCCAATCATGACTAAACACAGTTTAAGATTCACCTACCACGAAATATGAATATTTTGTGCCAAGATTCAGTGATGTAGTACAGGCAAATGAAACATGAATTGACTTTAGTTTTTATGCTAATAATAGCAATATTACCATACGGTACTTGCATTTTTTTTATTATTATAAAAACAATGTGAACTTTATATCTACACAATGTTCTATGACATGAACAAACCTTTAAAAATAATTACACTTTTTGAAGTATTTTTTATTTGCTGATGTTTGTCTGATTAGTAACTGATTTTAAGTTTTGATATTTTAGCGTGCTTTAATATGGAAGGTTGTTTCTGCCACAGAATAAATGAAAAAAAAAGGTAATTGCGACCTTTTTGTCTCAGTTGCGTGATATAAAGTCACACTTGCGAGTTATAAAGTCAGAATTGCGTGATATAAAGTCAGAATTGTGTGTTATAAAGTCAGACTCAGAATTGTGTGATATAAAGTCGCTATTCTGAGGAAAAAAGTAATTTATTTTTTTCCTTAGAATTGGACTTTATAACTCATAAAGCCAGAATTTGAAGAAATAAATTCACAATTGTAACTCACAATTGCTAAATAAAAAGTCGCAATTATCTTTTAAAATGTTGTATTCTGTAGTGAAAGCTTCCATACTTTAAAGTCACCATGAAATCAAAACTGACAATTCTTATTTTTTATGCAAAATTCCAGTAAGCATTTAAAAAAAAAAGTTTATTTCATGTGCTTGGCAAGGGCAGGGCAACCTGTCTCTCACATGAGATCACAGCAATAGCAAACCACAATAATTCATTAATTCCCCAAGGACAAAATCTCCTCCCTCAGATACACGTCACAATATGGAAGAAAAGACTATTGCAACTTCCATTTCATGTCGATTTTAAAAAGTGTGTTTAACATCATGCTGTGCTTTAGTTGATAAACCCCTTTTAGAAAAGTTGACTATTTTACAGAGACATTCAGACATGCCTTTAGCTATTGCGTTGTCTCTTCCAGCATCCCACCTTGAATGTTGCATTTTTAAGATGGTGAATTAAGTTTAATAAGTTGCCTTATGAGTCACGACCTCCTCCATTTCATTCCATCAGTGTCGTTTTCATTGACATTTCTAGCATAGAAATTACACTAAACCAAACCAGCACAGAACCAGAACAGTTGAATTCCTTACTGTTCTCATTCCTACATGATGCCGTTCCACCCTTCATCTACAGTAGCTCTAGAGCGTATACTGCTCATTCAGACTGTGCTTATATGAGCCACAGAGGTCTGGTTTAATGCAACTGGGTCCTGGGTTCTCTTTATTATGCAGTAGGAGTGTTTCAGGCCTGCTGAGTTACTCAGTCCAAACATCTTTGATGTGCAGCAACCGACTGACACTACCCAGCAGGCCCTGGGCTTAAAACGCTGACCACTGTGTTTCTCTTCTTAGACAAGAAAAAAAAAAGAAACACAAGAAGAAAAGAGAGAGACCCAAGGGGCATAGGACAGTAGTAAGCAGCTACACTATTATAACGTATGGCGCACGTGACTCACTGAAAGGTCAAAACCCAAACACACACACACACACATTCCACAGAGTCTAATCACTTCAGTATGTTTTAGCTAGCCCACATTACCTCACACACAGCACAATTCATATAACTTCACATACACACATTTCCGAGTCAGTTTTCTTTCCACAGAGAAGACACACCCAACACTGAACTCTATCCAATTTATATCATCCAATGTATACATTATATCACACGTTTACTAAATGAAGACATACAAAAGACCTTTACTGCCCTACAAAAATTGTGTTTAGAATCTTTGCCCATTTTCTTTTCTGATTTTGGGCAAATCTGTGTAATTATATGGAACGGATTGAAACATGGTGAACTGTGTAAACAGAGCGGAGCACGACACACAACCATATTAGCCCAAATATTGAATACATAATCAATTATTGGACTACAACTATACTCATTATGCATTTACTAATAACATCAAAAGGACTAACTATTCTTATATAACTAGTTAAGATGCGTTCAAAAAAGTATTTTAAGAGGTCTGTTACGCCAACCTGATCTCATAAGAAAACATAACTATTTTACAATTTCATATGAATTCATTTGATGTGATTCATACAGAAACACAATTTTTAGAAGAAAATAAAGCAAGCATGAAGGTCCAGCCCAAACCAATGCCTAAACTGCAAATTGTACCGAAACATAGAAATAAGATCGTACGATATTAGCCATCAATTCGCCAAAACTTGAAATGGTTACGAATAGCCTTGAGAGTGTGTTGGTTTCAGCTGTTAACAGTGTAGGACCCTATACATTTCTCACATGAATATAAATGGCTGTCAAGTAAAAAGCTGAGTAAGCAACACATTAAGTAAATGACTTGTGTATTTCCTTGACCTTTTAAACACACAGTAGTATAGTTTCGTTGGGTCCTATTCTTTGGAGCCCCACAAAAAAAAAGCATAAAAGTGTAATTATTGGTCAAATGTTTGGTCAAACTGATTAGCGTTCTTCTGTATCTCTAGATGTGAATGTTGGGTTTTGAAATAGTGTAAATCCTCAGTGAGTTCTGTGGGTGTAGATTGATGTTCGCCAGCCTACAGCTTATCACAGTGTGTTACACTCACCTGTATTTAGAGCACAGCACAATCCTTATTTCCTCCACATCGCTTTGCGATTCAAAAGAGAATCCTGACAGAAACAAAAGGAGAAAAAGACTGATTAATATTACATTTATAATGTGATAAACAGCTTTATGGTGCGCTCTGATCTGGATTATGGACCTTCTGTGAAGAACTGCCAAAAAATAACAAAAGAAATATGTCAATCACTTTGGGACAGTTTAATCACAATCAACCTTTCTATGTCCCCGCTCTCAATAGTATTAGCTGCTATTTTTAGGGACAGATTATATCAGAGTGATGGTCCTCACCCACCCAGACAGAGTCGAGTCGCGTCGCAAACAAATGCAGCCCTAGTCAAACATATCTAGACTTATGACTATCTGTAGGTCTGCACAATATTACATTTTGACAATTTTCACACAAACTTATCGTCAATCCAATGGTGCACCCGTGGGAACAGTCCTTATCATGCTCCAGTTCACCAAATGGTTCGTCCTGACAGTCACAACGTCCCAAACATCACTAAAATTAAGCAGCAATGCTCAGCAAAAATGCTAGCAGGAATCTGGATATTGTACAAACCTCTTGCCATTTGAACACTAAAACAGAAATCAATTAATTTAATTCAATTCAAATTTATTTGTATAGCGCTTTTTACAATACAAATTGTTTCAAAGCAGCTTTACAGAAAGTGCATTTCAGAAATGTAAATAGAAAAAATACAGTTAGATAATCATGTATTAATTTAGGGCATAACATATCGCCGGCGTCGAGTCGTCTCTTCACAGGCGTCGAGTCGTCTCTTCACAGGCGTCGAGTCGTCTCTTCACAGGCGTCGAGTCGTCTCTTCCAGGCGTCGAGTCGTCCCTTCACAGGCGTCGAGTCGTCTCTTCACAGGCGTCGAGTCGTCCCTTCACAGGCGTCGAGTCGTCCCTTCACAGGCGTCGAGTCGTCTCTTCACAGGCGTCGAGTCGTCTCTTCACAGGCGTCGAGTCGTCTCTTCACAGGCGTCGAGTCGTCTCTTCACAGGCGTCGAGTCGTCTCTTCACAGGCGTCGAGTCGTCCCTTCACAGGCGTCGAGTCGTCCCTTCACAGGCGTCGAGTCGTCCCTTCACAGGCGTCGAGTCGTCCCTTCACAGGCGTCGAGTCGTCCCTTCACAGGCGTCGAGTCGTCCCTTCACAGGCGTCGAGTCGTCCCTTCACAGGCGTCGAGTCGTCCCTTCACAGGCGTCGAGTCGTCCCTTCACAGGCGTCGAGTCGTCCCTTCACAGGCGTCGAGTCGTCCCTTCACAGGCGTCGAGTCGTCTCTTCACAGGCGTCGAGTCGTCTCTTCACAGGCGTCGAGTCGTCTCTTCACAGGCGTCGAGTCGTCCCTTCACAGGCGTCGAGTCGTCCCTTCACAGGCGTCGAGTCGTCCCTTCACAGGCGTCGAGTCGTCCCTTCACAGGCGTCGAGTCGTCCCTTCACAGGCGTCGAGTCGTCCCTTCACAGGCGTCGAGTCGTCCCTTCACAGGCGTCGAGTCGTCCCTTCACAGGCGTCGAGTCGTCCCTTCACAGGCGTCGAGTCGTCCCTTCACAGGCGTCGAGTCGTCCCTTCACAGGCGTCGAGTCGTCTCTTCACAGGCGTCGAGTCGTCCCTTCACAGGCGTCGAGTCGTCCCTTCACAGGCGTCGAGTCTGTGTCTGGACGACACAGGCGTCGTCCCTTCACAGGCGTCGAGTCGTCCCTTCACAGGCGTCGAGTCGTCCCTTCACAGGCGTCGAGTCGTCTCTTCACAGGCGTCGAGTCGTCTCTTCACAGGCGTCGAGTCGTCTCTTCACAGGCGTCGAGTCGTCTCTTCACAGGCGTCGAGTCGTCCCTTCACAGGCGTCGAGTCGTCCCTTCACAGGCGTCGAGTCGTCTCTTCACAGGCGTCGAGTCGTCCCTTCACAGGCGTCGAGTCGTCCCTTCACAGGCGTCGAGTCGTCCCTTCACAGGCGTCGAGTCGTCCCTTCACAGGCGTCGAGTCGTCCCTTCACAGGCGTCGAGTCGTCCCTTCACAGGCGTCGAGTCGTCCCTTCACAGGCGTCGAGTCGTCCCTTCACAGGCGTCGAGTCGTCCCTTCACAGGCGTCGAGTCGTCCCTTCACAGGCGTTTAGTCATCTCATTAGTTCTGGGTTCTGATTTTTGAGCCAATGGAACCCACCTTCAGAAGACCTACTTGTTCATTTTTTATTTAGCTTTTCTTTCTTTTTCTTTTTTTAAAGATTTTTGTAAAAATGTTGAACATTTGTAAATTAATCTTACCCTTTCCTTATTCCTTATGTAATAGCCAGCCGTAATTTTACAGAATGTCATTTAAAGTCCCCCAGTGGTGAAAAGCTTTTAATATTGTTTATATGTCAGTGTGGTGTATTTCAAATATTTTAAGACAAACCATGTGTAAATTCATGAGTCAACACCATTGCTGAGTGTTTTCTTCTTAAAACTGCAGTGAACCAAAGACACGGTTTGAAATCGCTGGTGTTTCTGATGTCACAAACTACCTTGTAACCAATCAGATCAACATGCAATCGTCAACGAGTGGATCAGTTATTCTGAGCTGCTGTGAGTGGAGGCGGGGCTCATTTGCATATTCATAGAACCCTGCATATACTAAATGAAGCAAGGGTGTAGAGTTACATTCAAGCTGTTTTAAGGAATGAAGAATTTCTTTTTTCAAGGAAAAAACATTTAAATATGTAATTTTGGTGATCAAAGATTAGTTTTAAGGGAGACCATTATTGACTACGGGGGGACTTTAAGGCCTGTTCACATCAAGGACAATAACTATAGCGATATAAAGTTCTCTGATCAAATCGCTCTGAATATAAAAGAATAGCAGACTCCTCACTACCACTATAATGCTAATGACACAGAGAAACAATATCGTTGGAATCACTTTCAGAACCATTTTTCCAGTTGATCAGAGCCAATCAGAATCCATCCTGCTTTAAAGTGCTTGAGCATTTAAAGCTGCAGAAGACAAAACTTACATCATTTACATAAGTTTGTGCTAGTGATAAAATATTGTGTTAAACAGAGTTGTATTGAATGAAGATGTTTTCTAGTTATTATAACAACACAGCAATTCATCAAATGATGAACAAACAATGGAGAAGAGCATAATAATAACGAGGAGAATATCCAGACGTGGTGTCGTCAAGAACATTTTACCATTTTATAGAGCCTAGGTGCCGGGTTTACTGTGGCAGCTTTGTGTCAGATCAAGATCATTCCTACTGAAATCGCATATAAATATCTAGAGATTCCACAAACATCCCCAGAAGCGCTCATTGTATTGGTCGGGTAACTTTGTTTCCCAGCATACTGATGAAAACATGTGCACTTTGCCTGCCAATCAGATTAAGGTTTGTTGCTCTGAGTAAACACTTGCTTCTTTTTGCAATATGCTTGAAAAGATATGATCTGTGAGTGTGATGTCAGATCCTGAGACTGACAAAGGCCAAACTCATGTACTTCACCCAAGACTTAAGAGAGCCATAACACTGCAGGCTAAAACTCACCACAAACACACACGCAAAAGCAAAGCACTGACTGAAATAAAATTAACCTCCAAGGACAGCCTTTTGTAGGACAAACCCATTTTCTTAATTAGGTTTGAATACAGGCAAAAAAAAAAAACATCATGGTATTCAACAAGATTTAAGAGAGTGTGACAGTAGTAAATGGATCTTTGTTAAATGAAAAGCCACAGATATTCTATAATGGAAAGGCAAGCAATGATGCCTGATTTGTTCTTTAATGCTGGGCTGTCAAGATTTAATTTAAGGGTTAATACACCCATTAATGAAATTTGGCCAATATTACAACAATTATGTCATGTTGTTCCAAATATTATTATCTTCTGTGAAACACACAGGTAGAAAAGACGTCTGAAGTACCGTAGCTCTTCTATGTTCAAGGTAATCGTCCATGTTGGTTTAGCTCTAAAAATAAATATCCTGCTATGTTCACTTACAAGAGATCTCAAAATGTGGCGAATATGTTGCGGAGATCAGATGTTGTGCATGATGACAAAAGAAATATATATACACAAGGGTGTTTTCCATGTCATAATCATGTTCCTCTGTATTACAATGCACACAAGTTCCATTCACATCAAAGCTTGTATAACATGTTCCCCCAGGAATGTGATTTATTCATCCCAATGTCCATGTCCATTAATGTATTTTAGGAAAACATCTGAGCATTAAGAATTTTAGTGAGGGAACATAAATCAGCCATTTGTAGACATGATGTTACTTCTATTGCTAGTAGACACTTTTTATTGACTATCATCAGAAGATTGAACAATACTTTTTTTTAGAAGGTTATGAACCCACTGTGGTGGACTCCTATAGGGCTTAATTGTTATTGAGGATTTCGATTTATCATAATTTTTGTAAGAGAGAGAGTGTGTGTGTGTGTGTGTGTGTGTGTGTATGTGTGGCCTGGTAAACCCTACGTTATGGGTAAAATGTCCCCACAAGGATGGCAATATCCGAAATCCTTGTTCGTGTGGGGACATTTTTTGGTCCCCATGAGGAAATCAGCTTATAAATCATACTAAGTGATGTTGTTTGAAAATGTAAAAATGCAGAATGTTTCCTGTGATGGGTAGGTTTAGGGATAGGGTTAGTGTAAGGGAATAGAATATACAGTCTGTACAGTATAAAAATCATTATGTCTATGGAAAGTCCCCATAAAACATGAAAACACAACGTGTGTGTGTGTGTGTGTGTGTGTGTGTGTGTGTGTGTGTGTGTGTGTGTGTGTGTGTGTGTGTGTGTGTTAATAGGCACAATATTTCTGAACGGCATGTTAGATATCTGGTCTGTTTTTTTTTTCAGGCTCAAGAAGGTGGACTGGTTTTTAGTGGTGCTCATTGCAGTGTTAACTTAAGCTACACGGCTAACCCAGAGCAGGTTTTATTCTGCGTTAGAGATCGCAAACCAAAACTGGACCAATCAGCTGTGAGCAAAGTGGCATATCTGATGCGATAAAGCCACTAGATTGCCCATCTTTTGCTGCAAATTATGAATTAAAATTA